AAATCAAAGTACACAGTTTTGTGTGTGAAAGTAGAGAACTCATTGCTGAAGCAGAATTTGTATGTTCCGTTTCTGGATGCAGTAAATGTGAAGCTATCATATTGTTTCTTCATCTCCTTGTACAACACAACACCATCAGGATCTTCCAGCCGACAGTCAACATCGTAATGACCTCCAGTGATCACCTGAGAACACAAAGCAAGATATGGTCTCTTTAGCAAAATGGATATTTATGCATTTCTTCTAAGAAGTATCATCTGTCAAGTGGCACTGCAAAGCTTTTTGCTTTGACAAGTGCTTTACCAATATAATGCATTAATCTGAAAAACTTTCAAAGCAAGTCTGCAAAATTATTTTCCTATGGAAGACACACAGAAAATAATAAAAAATGCTTTAGGTTCACCATATGTAATGTCAACTGTATTTTCAAACCCTTTGGAAAGCAATTTTAATTACTTTGTTATAAATAACTCAACAACAGCAAAGGCTACAGTAGATGAAGCTCAATGGGACTGCAAAGACATTACTGTAACAAGTCAATCATTTGCTGTATAAACAAGTCGTCCATGGAATCAGTTCATCTGTCTGAGACTGCCAACATGCAGTAAGACATTTCCTTTCTGTGTGGCCAGAAGAGTATCTGCCCAACTGTATCAGCTGCCTTAAACTGCAGGGATGGTGTTCAACCAGTAAAACGTGAATTTCAATCTGTCCAGTCTTCCTGCCAGCTCCTCAACAGAGAGATGTTCTGGGGGTCCTGGTGCCTCCTTCCCGCACAGTTGGACACAGCAGTGCTTCCAAAAACCAGCACATCCAGATAATGCCTCCAAGTGACTCAAAACTTCACGGTCGCAAGGGTTTGTTTGAGGCTTTGATTATTGTTGGTGTACAGAGTATTGCTACCAGGATTCTACAGAAAGACTGTAGGGAGTTTAGGTATTCGCAACTTGGTGTTCTGATGACTCTTACAGTAGCAGTTTTACACTTTATCCTTACCACAAATTTTTACCTTTAAGATAAAGATACCAGCCCTCTCATTTCCTAATTTTTTAGAAAAGTAGGAATCGAACCTACGCTAAAGGAATCAAAATCCTCTATACTCCCTCTATATTATTTTCTAGTAAGGTCAGCTAATTAAGCTATCGGGCATATTCATTTTATATGTGTGCAGAAATCACTGAAATATTTTAGTATCTGTGTATATGCACTTCACTCCACTCCACTGAGCATTGTTTAAACTCTCATCAGTTTACTGAGTTACCAAGTTATTAAAATGACTTTAATGATACAATTGAAACAAACTGGAGCAGCAGCTCCTCCACAAAAATGAAGTTCTGAAAGTATCCAGTTGGCAAGCAATAACATAGCTCTTCATTTCAGAAATACAATCTCCAACTTGACCAGGGTGTGCTTTTTACCAATTACATGAAAGTCACTTGCATTCAGCGAGATCACCCTGAAGGTGTCAGTTTACATCGAGGTGGTAAAGACTGGCCAGAGCTTTGAAGTTGCCCTAGGAATCCTTCCTACAGAGCTTGCCTGTGCCTCCTGTCGGCCCTTAAGACACACTGTTAAAGGACATTCACACAGCACTTTAGTCTACCAGTGGCTGGTCAAATCCAGACTTTTCTTTTATCAATGCTACTCCCGTTCTGGGCACCAAAAAAAATGGCAAGAGCAGGCTGATCTGCACAGTGATATCCAATTCAAAACTGCAGGGAAAGTACTGCACATAAAAGACTTCATGGAAGAAACAAGCAGGGACAAGAAGCACTTGGGCAGGGAAAAAGATACCCAGGAGCTAGAACACATAAGACAGAGTAACAAGAACCAATATATGGCAGCAACTGAGAAAGAAAAAAACCGCAGAACTTCAACAGGAATAGTCAGCCTATAGAATCACACAGCCCCTTCAAAACCCCTCAAAGGTAACTGTGATTTCTGTCATCAAGGACTATTTTTCTCTCATGCTGCTGCTTTACTGTTAGTGACTTCATCAGCTAAAGTGCCAGACTGAAAGGCTCCAACCCCGCAGATACACTCATAGGCATCAAAACAGTGATGCTGTACCGCATCCTTGTCCCATCACCCTTTTACTGTTTACTACGTAACCCCAATCTGAACTGTGCTCTGAAATACGAAGCATCAGCTCTTAGGATGTACTGTGCTGATCCCGTCGGTGCTTCGTAAACCACAAGGGAATTACTTTCGCAGCACCTTGTGGGTCAGGTGTGCTCTAGGTATTCTCCGCGCTGTTGGGGCGGGACACGACACGGCAGCGACCAGGGCAAAGACACCGCCAGTTTTCAGAGCCAGCTCTGCGTGTCCCCCTCAGCCCTGCACTACACTGAAGCCTCCTCGCCGCAGCTGAGCTGGAAACTCCTCACTGGATCCAAATAATCCCTAAATGCCGGAGCCGAGCGGGAGCTCCCG